CCCATTTACCACTGGAAAACCAGCACCAGCTTGAAAAACAAACAGTTTCTGCATAATCAGACAAGCTTTGAGAGATTTTCAACCCAGATGACATTTAGGAATAGGGCCCGATGGACATTTGGAGGAACACCGATGGTAACCAGTTAGTAGCACCTTCAAAGGTCAGCATCGGTAGGTTACTGAAGGACAACTCATCAAATGTTTGACGTATAACAATAGTCGTAATGGTGATGACGAGGAACGAATCCGGTTTTTTCCACTTGAACTCCGAAGGGCAAGACTATTGGTGACATTGGAGCTACAAGTATCGTAGTAATTTAGTATGTCAAACAGATGGCAACAACCGAACAGATGGCATTTGCTTATTTATCTGTACATTTCAAGCTTGCTTGGGTGTTCTCATACAGGTCCCGTAAAACATATTTTTTAAATAACGAAAAGATTCATGAATCCACCCGGGCGTGGAGGGTAGGAAACTCTCTAATCGGACAAAGAGAAATAACAAGTTTTCCTTCTTGAATACTAAAAGATAATAATAACCAATAGAAAGTTATTGAAGAGAGATTTTAAGCAACACTTACCCACATAGCACTTCAGTGCTTCAGTGACAGCGATGATGCTAAGGATAATACAGACCAATGCAGAATTCATGGCTCAATCCAATGCAGCAGGTAACGTTTACCAAGAATACGAACTGCCGAGCTGCCGATGTGCCAGTGGCGCTCTTAAATAGGCAAATAAGCGATAACGCCAAAACGACGCGGCGTTCTCCGCCCATTGCTGTGGCCTCTTTTGGCAGCAGCTCCAGATGATGTCCCATAGCAGGACACGTGCAAGTCAGACGTTTCAGAAAGTTTAATGTTCATTGATGTTTGTGATTAAAAAGCGATAAGAAGATTTAAGCGAAGTCATTGAGACCCTCGATAGGGAAGAACATTCAAAGATCCTTTTCAAAATAAACAAGGGAGTTGGACATTGTACCCTTTGTCATGTGTAGGCACTGGACAGCCATACATTATCACAGCAGGGCCCCTGTCCTCAATTGTCTTCAGCTACAGAGGGCGTTCAGAAACCGCCATAGTCCAATTCGCCTATTTTTGGGAAAAATTGACAAACAGTGCACTAGTACGTACTATAGCATTGCGGTAAGTGGTGGCATAGCATAGCGCTAAGTGGCGTCGCTACCACTCATATGGCTCGGGGATCAGATACCGCATTGGCCGAATATGAATGTAAATGCCAGTTCAACAAAGAATGGAAGTCGGATGAGGGAAGCTGTCTTCAAATGAGATCAGTGAACAATTAATACAATGGATTTCGGAATGTAATATCAAATTTATAGGGAAGTCCTGTCCGTCTCTATGGCCGTAGTTGTCGAGACGAAAGCACATGCTTATTTGACGCATATTCGGCTCTATTTTCATCGCTTAATGAATACATATTGATAAAGCAAATGGGGCACCCATCATAATGTTAGTATAAAAAGAAATAAACTCAAATAGACTCAAGTACGTGTTATTCCGTGCTACATAAGGGACATGCCAGTTTTCAACTAAGCTTCAGGAGGGAAGGAGCTTCTTTTCCTAAGCGGTAATAATCCCATCAACCCAGGTACTCTTAGTCTACTTAGGCTTAGTTAAAAAGTGCATTACTTTGGCTAAAACCGCATGAAAACGCCCAAATGATCGGTACCCATTCTACTCTTCGTCTCTGATACAGTGCTAATATAATAAGGATTAACACGTGATACTGATTGTGAGTTCATTTCTTGTTACACTAACATTGTGATGGGTGCTCTCCCTACCCCCCATTCCTCCCCATTACATTTTCACCGCAAATTAATTTAGACAAAGTCGATTCATTGTTTAAAAACGTACTCTACGAAGAAAATATGTAGTTTGGGAAATTCTTCCCTAAGATGAGCCTGTGGTCCCCAAAAGTAGTAGAGTGGACATTGTCGGGCCAAAAACCGGCTTAGCCAGAACGTATAAAGAGCTCCAAATGTTGTATCACTGGCTGTGACGTTTTTCGTATTCGTAAGGCAGAAGCAGTGGACCTGATTGGAGCTAAGAACGGCCACTAAAGCCATAACAGTGGCGGAAAGCAATGACAATCTTTCTATAGTGAAGCCATTGCCCTTCTTCTATACATGTTCTGGTAATAAGGCTCCAGAACGATTTTCGAAAATTTCGCCTTGTCAAGGAGTGGCAGAAAATTTCCTAAAGGAAGTGCGCGAATAGGTGTTCCAATAAGTTTAAAGACTTCGAAAAAATTGTTAAAAGGAGTTGGACGAGAATGAGACCAGAAAATGAAGAAGAATGGGGCGGTTGGACGAGTTATACAATGCGTGTCATTGCGTACGTGTAGGTCTTGGTGCGAATAGCTAATGCAGTAAGAGAAAATGCCCTTCAAAATTCATTCACTCATAAGTGTAAGTTAACAGAAAACCCTGGTGACAGCAAAAGTAGCCCACCTTTTTCAGCCTCTGAAGTAGAAAATTAGATAAACGACCGCATCAGCAAAAAGAATGACAGAGAATAATAGAATAGGAGAAAAACATCGCTTCATCACTTGGCGATCAACTGATTGCGTGCTGAACGTATGGGTCCTGACGCGAATATTGCAACATGCATCGCCTCGACACTCTCCTGACACAACATCGGTCAAAGGGCGTGGCATCCGGGCGATCCGGTAATGGGGCTCCCACTATGCCATAGCAGTAGAGTTTTTGACAGCAACGAAACTCCATTCCAATACGCAAATTCTCACTCGTCAATATACGACGCTTCGAAAAGGAGCCCTGGTCAAGGACACAGGTACGGGTGATGGGGAAGCTAGTAGGTTACTGTAAGAGCCTAGTGCCCGTACTGAATATAGAAATCATCAAGCATTTTTTATTGTGAACTGTGTCTTCACGTTCTGGCATTCGCTCTCCTCTTGCTTTATGTTTTGCTCATATGTTTCTCTT